ATGGGTCCCACCCGTCTAAAAAAAGTCAACAATAACGGCTAGTTTTTCAATTTTAATTCGATTTTAATCTTTACCAAACACACTCTGAATTATCTCATGAATTGATCTTAATTTCGTGACAAACAAATCTATTTCTTTTAAGAATACACGTCTTTTTTAATCCTTTAAATATTTTTCAATCTCTCTATTGATACGACACTCCGAAACTGTACTACAACTACCGAGTTATTCTTTGGGCGTAATCAAGACATACCTTAAATATAGTTGTAAGAAGACTTCTTGTGTGGGATTTTGATCAAGTAAGTAGCAGAGCCAAGGAGGAAAAATATAGAAATCAATATAATTGCAATAGAAACCAATATATAAGTATTGTCATTCTTGTGAAAATAGCATGTTTAAGGCCTCATAATAAATAGTCGTTTAGGACCTCAAATGGTGGCCTCGTCCCGAGACCACGTATAGACTCGAATCTATTTTATATTTTTTAATTTAGAAAATAATCATTAATTAGTTATATGGGTCAGTAAGTTGGAGAGTTAGAATTTGAATATTAAACAATTCAGCAGAGACAATGTTATTCAACTTTAGTTTTTGTTAGCTTTCTTGGGTACAACTCACATAATAAATTCGCGTTTAATTACTAACGATTTCAACTAACTTGTCATGATAAAAAAACGCCATTTATGGACACATTTGAACTTACTGGTGCTAATATAGGATTTAATGTTAGTTTTTTTTATCGAGTGACCATTTTTACAACAATTAAAAACTTGAGCAACTGTTATCGTAAGAAAATGATTTCATTGACCATTAATGTAATTATCCAAAAATTCAATAACCATTGGCTTAATTAATCCATTTTCTCGTAAACTCTGCCGAGAAAAAAGAGGCTTAATATAGTATTTTATATTAGTATAAAACATTAAAAAACAGAAGTAGCAAAAAACCCAAAGTTATAGTCCCTTTTTGAAAAATGGCTTTACTTTGATGTAAATCGAATGCATGTAAATAAAATTTAGGGGATGTTTGGGCCCCATTTTTGGAGTAGAATGCATTTTGGAATAGCAGATTGATGAAAAATGTGTAGTTAAAAATGAAAGAAGTGATTTTTGGGCTGCATGTAATATTATTTTATTGAAAAATATGTGATTGAAAAAAAAAAAGAGTAAATGTATTTTGAAAAAATAGGAATCATGGGGTTAATCTGTTAAATTAATATATATTTTTTCCAATAATTTTACTCGATTATTCCAATGCGCGTAGTTGAGGTCACCTGTTACTTATTTTAAAATGCTTCCCACTTTATAATGTTAAATATATTTCATAATTTTGTCAAAAAACTTGTAATTTGAAGAGCAATGTTACCACATTATAAAATTTGCGAAAGTTTATAAATTGAAATTAAATTTTTTAAATTTATATTGTGGCGTGTTCATAAATATATAAACAAAAAGGATAACATCATAATATATCAAAGTCCACAGATAATTTATACAAAAAGTCAAAGCGAGCCTCGAGAACTTGTTCAAGTAGTTGAAGGGTATTTCATTTTTTATTCAAAAATTTGGATAAATCTTGTTTTAATTTAAAAAACTAAATATATAATTGCATAAATATAATATTTAGATAGATTTATTCACTTTGTGCGAAAGAAAAAATACGATACTATTTTCAAAGATGAATGTAACAAAAAACAAAATAAAACAAAACAAAGACGGTGACAACAAAAAGTGGCTGTAGTTTAGTGGTAAGAATTCCACGTTGTGGCCGTGGAGACCTGGGCTCGAATCCCAGCAGCCACACTTTTTTTTGAAAGTATTCCCAAATTTCTTAATATAATAAAATTAAGGGAAAATTGCAACAACGGTTCTTCACCTTTCACTTTTTCACACATTTTATTCCAACTTTCACTTTATGCCACGCATAGTCCCAAACTTTTCAAAAATATGCACATGGGTCTAAATGGATGATTTGACCACTAGTTGACCAGAAAAGTCAAAATTTGATCAATTTTGACCAAATTAAAAAAAAGGTAAAATGGTACTTTTCATTTCATTTCCTTACATTAGATTATTTTTAAAATTTAAATTATAAAATCAAAAAAATAAAAATAAATTTAAAAAAATCCTATCCACATCATGTGACTCTCCTTCTACCCCAAAATTAGTCCACCTCCACCGTCTGTCGCCGCCTACAACAATAACCACCACCCGACTCTCCTTCTTCCCCAAAACAATTTGCATGAGATGCTGCTATTTTGCGTATTTTTTTATGGATTTCCAATTCATACGTTAAGAAAAATTGTCTACGTATTTTGATAGGGAATAGAATTATGATTCGAATTATGCTAAGCGTACATTTTATGGGTTACATTTTGGTGCAAATTGTGTGGAAATTCAAAAAGTATTTCATTGGAAAGCGTATTTTTTTTAAAAAAAAATTGTCCAATCATGTGTCAAGTAGCATAGTGTATGCACACGTGTCATGATTCTTACGCTTCATGATCTCATGTACTAATTCATAAAAAAATACTAACAGATTAATGTTGTCTTCAATAGAGAACTTGTTAAATTTTACGTTGATTATCTTACACAATTATAAAATAAATATATGTTTATATTGCACTCGACAGTGCTACTATTTATTAAATTCATCCCAATTTTAAAGAAAATGTGACCGTTATCCAATTATCAAATAGATAGTCATTTGTAATAAATAGCATTACTCTACCTACAAAACATACATCCAGATGGTCCAATGAAAGAAATTGTGTTTCTTTTTAAAACTTAAATGCTCTCTCGTAAATTTATTTGTCGAAGATCCATTAATTAGCAAGAAATGTCAATTTACGCAAGGAACGATATATATTTTTGGTATCGCGTGTTTCGTTAGAGCCCAAAACATATATCAAATGTGGGCAACAGAAAATGATAATGCTTGGAAGGATATTGGAGTGAGAAATCACCTTGTAAATTGAGCGTAAAGTTTTATTGTTTCATGAACACTGTAAATAAAAAAAATTGTACATTTTTCTAATAGTTATATATTAAAACTAACAAAAACTTCAAAAATTATTTCAGTAGTATTATTGCAACGTATGGATTCAAAATATTATAATTTTGCTAGATTGTTTTCAGGAGACTTGGAATGATGCAAAATGAAAGACGAAGGTGAAAGCAGATTTGGAATTCTCCATGGACCTTGCTGTGCCAATGTCTGTCTATTCATGTGAAGTATCTCCCATTATGTTTGCCTTTGGTTAGATATTTTCATTTTTCTTCCTTCGATTTGTATCTTTCTTTCCTGCTTGAAATTCTCTCCCAAATTCTAGCATTGAAATATTTGTTTATGCCGAGATAATGATATCGTTGGTCTGTCATCGATTTTCAAAGCCAAATCGGGAAGTTTTAACTATTTAAATGCATGGGAGACGCATCCACATCAATATAATGATATTGTAACCTTGCAAACATGAGATGCATATACATTCATATACTTACTTTTCAGTTTTATTTTTTATTTTACAAACAAAATTGGGAAAACTTTAATGGTTTTAGCAAGTTCCTATGCGGTTGCGATTCAAGATCTGTATTTAGGATATCGTGGTGTAATATCAACACAAGAAGATTGCATCGTGGGTTTCGGAAATGCAAGGGATGGGCGAAGTTAAGTAATAGAAAGAACCTTTCGATGGAGTTTAGTCATTCGAATAGCACTACTTAGTGATTAGGAACAGAGCCAGTTGAGCCTACATCATTTTGTATAACCAGTTAACATCATTTATTGCCCCTTTCCATGATCCAGTATCTAAAATCTCCTTAGGCTACCTAGGAAAGAGAGATATGGCTCTCTGGGGGAGAAGTAGGGGCGGACTCATTAAGGGCACAGTGGGGGCAGTTGCCCCCACTGGGCTAAAAAAAATTGCCTTAAAAAAAAAAAAGAAGCCCAACAAGTCTATCTTTTAAAATAGGGAAAAATTCATTTTTCCTACTTTATCTTTACCCTATTTCAAAAATAACAAAACAACTTTCACATTTCAAAAATCAGATTTTTTAACTTATACATACACACATATATAAATATATAAAAAGATATAAATAAATAAATATAATTAACCCACCCCCACCTCCACCACCCCCACCCCACCAATCCGGCGACTATTTCAGCACTGCTCCGATGCCGATTCCGGCGACTACTCCGATTCCGGTGACCCTTTCGGCGACTATTCCGATTCCGACGACTCAGGTCACAAGTCACAGCCCAGGTCACAACTTGGGTCATAAGTCACAGTTCAGGTCACAACTCAAATCACAAGTCACGGCCCAGGTCACAACTCAAGTCATAAGTTACAGTCCAGGTCACAAATCAGAATTTTGTTCATAGTCATGAGTTATATATATATATAAGGATCACATGTTATTTTCAAATGATCACAGGTAAATTTTTCGGTGACAACTTATTTAATTTTGAGTCACAGTTTGAATTTTAAGGGTCACGGTTCACTAATTGGTCACAGGTCAACTACTGGATCATGTACCACCATCACCTCCAAATGTCTCCACAGCCACCGCTCCCGCTGTAAACCATGACAATCTCCAGCACCAACAATATCGCCGCCACCACCACAGAAATTATAAGATCCACAAAACCACCACCTCGCCACCACAGATACATACTTCATCACCACCACAAAATCGCCCCCGCCAAACCCCCCACCACCACACCCACAACACACACACAACACCACCATCTCCGTTTACACCACCCCCACACCCGCAACACACAGAGCACCATCACCTCTGTTTACACCTGCAACTACTGGAACATGTACCACCATCACCTCCGTTTACACCCGCAAACCACCACAAGCAGCGTCGACCACTACCCCCATTCATCTAGGGTTTATTTGATTTGGGCATTGAATCCAATTTTTGACTAGCAATCAACGGATCTGAAGGGAGGCGAAAGAATTGACGAGGGGCTGAGGCGAAAGAAACCAGATGCAAAGGCGGGGGCTGATGGAGCCACAACGGTCGTCGTCGACAGTGATGATTGGAAGGTTGTTTTCAGCCCCGACGGCGAGAGTACAGCAGGGTAACGCTGCTGCGAGTTCGCAGCAGCTTCCGCCAGTCAAGTTTGACGGTACTTACAACGACAGCTTCCACTGGGAACGACGCAGCTTTTGCCGGTGATGCTCCTCCAATGAAGCGCCTCAACGCCGGAGCTGTGTTGCCGGCGAATAGATGGTGTAGGGTGAAGGTGGCGGTGTGTAATGGAGAGAGAGAGATAGAGAGGAAAGTGTGAATTGTGTATATTATAATTAATTTAATATTATTATTAATATTTAATTAAACATAAAAAATATGTATCTATATATTTAAATCTCTGATTTTTGAAATTTAAACCACCAAATCTGATTTTAGAATTTGAATCTCCAAATGTAAGGAATAGTGTAATTTCCACTTTAAAATATTGAAATAAGCCTAGTAGCCCAGTCCCATTACCCACCCTTCCCTTCTCCCCAATTCCCTTCCGTTCCCCCCAATTCTCCCACAGTCCCACTCCTAGACGAGTTCTGAGTAGAGATGAGAACCATAGGAAAGATCAATCACATGAATCTTGTGAGAATGTGGGGATTTTGTTCAAAACGAAGACACCGACTCTTAGTTTATGCCGACTCTTAGTTCAAAACGAAGACGTCGACAACATGTCACTTGACAAACATCTTTTCAACTCAAATATTTTGGAATGGAAACAAAGATTTGCTGTGGCATTAGGTACAGCAAAAGGTTTAGCCTACCTCTACCATAAATGTCTAGAATGGGTTATCCATTGTGACGTGAAGCCAGAAGATATTGTTCTAGACAGTGAATTTCAACCCAAGATTGCAGATTTTAGGCTAGCGACGCTGTCTCGAAGAGATAGCCATGGTTCAGAAATTACAAGAATTCGAGGGACGAAAGGCTACATGGCTCCAGAGTGGGCACTGAACCAGCCAATCACTGCAAAAGTCGACGTCTATGGATTATGGATATGGTGCTGTAATACTCGAGATGGTAAAGGGAATTAAGCTCTCAAATTGGGTGGTAGATGATGCTCACAATGACAAAATTCCTCTTAAAAGTCTTGGCAGGACAGTGAAGAAAAAATCTCAACGTGGAAACTCCTCTTGGGTAGAGAGCATAGTGGATTCAAGATTGGAAGGGAATTATAGCAGAAAACAGGCTGCGACACCGATTCAATTAGGCCTTCTTGTGTAGAGGAAGACCAAAGCAAGCGGCCTACCGTGGCTGCAGTGATCCAAACTCTCATGGAATGTGAAGATAAAACATATACAAATTCCAGACAGATGTCATTGACCTTCCACTTTCTCTGTTTTTTGTAAATATTATTAGAATAATAAATCTGTATTGTTTTAAGCTTTATTTTGATGTATACATTTACTGAGATTGCTGAGATTAATTTCATTTTCGACTGTCTGCTTTTCATTTTCTTCATCAGCATTGACATGTTTTAAGGTAGCATGTTCATCATCAGTCTTTTCAGAATCAATATATACTTCGACGGAATATGCTTCATCACTTTCCTTAAAGGTTTCAAGACATTCAGAGACTGGAAAAGTTGCTACTGCTAAACTCAACTTTATCTTCCGACTCGTGATCCGGCACTATGAATTGCTGGAATTTTCTTCCACCTCTTTGCCATCCTTCTTATGATCACATATCAAATATAAATTCGAAGGATCTACCTCTGAGTTTTCCATTTCTTTATATTCTTCTAGGGTTACACTCATTTCCAAATTGCTGAACAAATGAGATTCAGCACCATAATCTGTGTATCCATGTTCAAGTCAATAGTTAAAGCTTGAAGCATGTTATGGTCACATAAGCATTACAAACTTGTCAATCATCAAAAGAAAAACAAAAAAGTAGCTTTGACATTAGTTACAGGTTATAATCTATGATTACCATTTAACTTGCATCTGCATTATCCGCATTCTAAAAGGTGTTGTGCATATCCTTTGCCGCCTCAGTTATCCTGCTAGTTTATGTTGTTTCTGGAGTATCTCCTTCAAAACAATCCGACAGAATTACCTTACAACGTAACAATATGATTGATAGAAAAAGCAATTCGGGCTCACAAACTTCATGATGTTTCCTTAAAATGAATTTGCTGCCTTCAAAGGTGCTAAAGGCGTCCAACAATCGTTTCCCATGATAAAATGAATTTCGTCTCCTACGGAAGTAGCACAGCAATCTGCATGAGTTCCAACGAACTCAATGAAGTGTATTTACTTCGAACAATAATATCAGAACGAGAGAGGGAGAATGAAATTCAATGCAGATAATATTTGCAGTGAAAATTGTGTAATTATTTTGGCAGCGGGACAATCAATTTATAGAATCGTTCGTGACCATTCGAACAAGGACGCACCCGAACACGCCCGAACCGGCCGGCCGGACGGCGGTGGCGCGCGCGTGTGGGGTTTGGACTGCATCCACTAGGATATAGGTCTCCCCCCTTTCAAAAACTATTGGTATCCCTCGTGGCCCAATTCCCAACCTTACACTATATAAACCACACCAAAGTTTTCTATGTGGAATAAGTGTGAGAATTTTTCAGTAAATCAAAATTTTCACTAGTTTATAGTTCCAAGTGGGTTACTTTGACTTTAAATATTTCATTCAATTCTAAATGATTTTTGATAAATAAATATATAACGTTAATCCTCTTGTGAAGTAGAACGTGAATATACTAGGTCCCGTTAAAAATAAGGCACGGGTCCCACTGAAATTTGGGCTCAAAATTGACCCATTTCACTAATATAAAAACCATTTCCCAACAGTTTCACCGTTCCAACAACATTCATTTAGTTCGTGAAGACAGAACTTTGCTCCATGGCCATTTCGCTATTAGCATTTTGCTCTTCAGAAACTTCCTGAGATACTTCTAGGTTCTCATCTCCCATGTCCCAAGCCTTTACACAGTAAGAACCATTTACTTCGTCTTGTGGATTCCACATCTTTCTCCATCGTAACTTCATTATCCTTGTGAAAGGGTTCAGGCAAAAGAGAGCAAGGAACACCTACAAAAAGAGGACATGTTATACTAGCATAAAATTCAATGGAAGCCTTGCAGAACGACCTAAAAAATACTTGAAGAATCTAAAAATTCAGCAATAGCTAGGCTTAGGAATGATAGATTATTGTACTTTGTAGCCCAAGAACTTGCAATGTTTTGTTGGGTTTAGAACAATCACACTTCTGATACTGTGATAGTGAACATGGAGCTCTTTGACTACTTTACAAGCACTTCATGCTATCTTTGTTCGTCTTTACATTTTTTTCAACATCAAGGTCGCCCACCTCCCCTTCATCCGAATAAAGAGTTATTCGGGTGAATTCTTCTTGTTATTATTGGCTCTTACATGGCTAGTTGGATTTATCACACAATTTGAACAATTATATGTTTTATATTATTCTGATTATCTGCTATTAACTTCTAAAAGTATCGTAACATAATTATTAATGTGTCTTCTAAATGTGCAGTAATTTAGATAATTGGCTTGTTCATTGTGCATATCGAGATCAAGAATTCGGGATTCAAAGATGAATATTGGTTCGGGCTATGAATGTATTAGTCCATTAGTTAAATTTACTTTTAAGTTACTTATTAATATTTTTTAAATATGTGTACTTGTTTTGCTCAATGGTTATCGGAAGAACTGTGGCACCAAGGGTCCACAACTCTCCTCTCTATTCATGGATGCTCATGTACTCAACGTTTCATCAGTACTTCGATTCAATTCCAAACACGCCCTTAAATCCAAACATTCCTTTAAATTCCCCTCCATTTCAACAACGAAGAATTCCCGTTTCAAGCAATTCATTCTGAGGAACAATAGTACTAAAATTTTTGGAACCAGCGGCAAAAACGACGCCGTGTTCAACGACGAAGCTTACGAGGCGGAGCGGTTGAGGCTGGACGCAGAGGCACGAAACTCCATGGCGGAGAAATCTTCAAAAGAGGTCCAAATTGAGGACGACCCGAAGGCGTGGAAATGGGTTATTCGAAAACGGGTTTGGGACTTGATGGAGGCGCAGAACATTGCTCAGTTCCCCCGCCCCGTTCATCACAGAATACCCAATTTTGTTGGAGCGCAACTTGCTGCCACTAAAGTAAATAATTGAACTTTCATTTGTTGAAATTTATCCAATTTTTTGCACTGTTTGTGTTGATCTTTTGTTAATGGGCTTGTGGGGTTCGGCAGTTAAGTGAATTGGAGGTGTTTGAGAAGGCAAAATGTGTGAAAGTGAATCCAGATACGCCACAAAAGCAAGTGAGGCTCCTCACCTTAAATGGTTAGTTTTGTGTATACTGTTGCTTATTTTAAAATTTTAGTTGGTTAGAGATTTTGTATTTACATGACACTAGTTTAGGTGCCTCCTAAATCAGAAGAACTAAAGTTGCATAGGGATATTTATTGTGCTTTAGCAAAGCTTAAGAGATTTTTCCCTATAATCATTTTCAACCGAACATTCTATGAGCCATAAATTTTTCCTAGTTTTTAACCACAAGATCTCCAAAAAAATCATTTTTCCTTTAAAATAATCTCTCCCATACAAACTCTTAGCTAGAAAATATAAATTTAACATGTGTAAAGTTAAAGGATTTAATTATAAAGAGGAAATTTAACAAATTGGTAGTTTTTCAATTTTCTTGGGAAGTAATGATGAGAATAAGATGGAGGATGAGATAGCATAGTTGAAATGGATTTTTTCGAAAAATAGACTTAAATTATAAGATTCAGGTAAGTATGATTACCCGATGAATGTACAGTGATGAATGATGTTTGTTATGGTTGGAAACGAGCTCTTTTAAGTTTTATCTATGAACTATGAGTCTGACCTTTTTTATTTTGTTGGACACGTACTTGTATATTTGTGGGTAGCTATTTATTTTTTTGGCCCAAACATGCATATTGTACTTTAGCCTTTGACAGCTATTTTAAGACATAATCATGCTCTTGCACCGATGTCCTATTCCATTTTTGATTTGATTGACAATGGATAAGGTTTGGTTACTTTTCATTTTTCACTTTCGAACTATAGAAACTACTACTTGGCTACCATACTTGTGGGAATCTACCAGTCCATCTCTTTGGTGCCCATCTATTTCCCATTTGTGATAAGGTACTTTTGAATGTTTATGATTAATCATATGAACGGAAAGTTTAACAAAATGCCACGCATATGAGGGGTTTAATGATTCATAAATTGTGGCTTCTCCAATTAAAAGAAGTTCTTAAATACATTGAATCTCACTATAATAATTTTTATTTTCAATTTTACTTGCTACTTTGAAAATACCTTTTTCAAATACAAACATATTGATATTATATCCATATTGTGCCCAAGAGTATTCAACATTTTAATATTTCCTCGCAATCTTTCGGTGTGTATTCAAATAAAAGCTATACTTTTGCATTAAGGTTTTGATTTTCTATCTGTATTATTTTCTTGCCAGCGGTTATTGTCTTATGTTATATGTCTGTTTTATTTGAATCAATATGCCTAATCTCAGGTTATTGCTGCCGAAACTCTATTTTCTCATTTTGTGTAATTGATTGAGTTTTTGGGTATTTGACTCCCCCCGCCCTTCCTTATTTTGGTGATCTAATATTGGGTAATTTTCATTTAGCCTCTCTGATTTATGAGAAAATGTCACTTGATAAGAGTAATGGACGTATTCAGTTTCAGGGAAATGAAGTTATTTACATTTGGTGTAGATTTGAAGATTAAATTGAGTTGCTGAAGAATTATTTAGTAGTTTGAATATAAACTTTTAATCATAATTAAGTCTTAGACTCTTAGTTAGATTTAAGTGAAACTCAGTTTCTTATTTTAATGGAGACGATAACTATTTAAAGAGTTTTATACTGGTAAATGAGTGGTATCAATAATATAAATTGAAACTGTTTTAAATCTACAAGGGACATAGGCTTTTAGGTTATTATGAAAAATTGGAGAACCCTACCAAATACTTATGGTGGCCAGGTGATACATTCCGTTAGGTCAAGAGATAAATAGAAATTACCCCCATGTATAATACATGTATGTGTTTTTAAACTACAGGTGAGGCTTGTTTTGATCTATGTCGATGACTCCATGTAGAGATGCTAGTTTAATAATGTGTTAAAAATCAATGATAGAAACAACACAATCCTAATTATACAATGGGAGACTGGAAGAATGCAAAG